CCCCAGCCCCGCCCCCGCCCAGCTCCACGATCACAGAGCTGCAATAAACTAATGGAAAACCTCATTCATTACAGAGCGAGAACTCGAGGCTGGAGGGGAGAGTGACGAGCAGCAGAGCCGTGATTTGAACCCACGGATTTTAGGTAATTCAAAAATGAGCCCTGACAGAGCCGGAGGGAACAGACAAACTGTGTGTTTCTGTCTCTTTCGGCCTCCCGCATAGAGAGCGACATAGAAGTTCTACAGAAGGGATAACAGAAACAAAAAACTCCAAACCAAAAAAAACACAGCCTAAATCTCCAATAATAGGGATCAGCTTTAAAAATGATGATTTAGCCAAACCATGAAGGTTGTGCAGCTGTTAAAAAAAGCTGTGGTGGATCGATGAGTAACAACACGGAACAGCCCCAACCTTACTTAGTGAAAAAAGCAAGATGTTGACCAAAACGTTATGTAGGGTGAGACTATTTTTGTTGTTTTCACAAAAACAAGAATAGTTTTGTAAAACACAGTGCTTTTATAAAACAAAACCCCGTGTGCATATGTTTCTTTATCTGTGTGGGCCGTGTATGGAGAGGAAGCGCTGACAGCAGGCTGCAGAGACTACAGCTGCTCCCGTCCCTGTGTGCACGTGACTTTCCTGCTTCTCCCACTGTGCGCTGGAGCCGACTCCCCGACTCCCCCACCTGAGAGCGGGCTGGCCTTGTGACCTGTTGGATGTGGCAGAAGTGATGTTCTGGGACGCCCACGCTCTGCAGCTTGCCCTTGGAAAGCTGTCCTAAGAGTGCCACATGGAGAAGCCCGGACGAGCAGAGATGAGCCATCCCAGCTGAGGCCTCCTGGACTTTCCAGTGACAAGCCAGTGCCAGTTGCCAGATGGGAGAGGACAGGAGCCACTTGAACTATCCCACCCCAGTCGAGCCACCAGATGGCAGCATCAGCATGAATGTCCCCCAGTAAGACCAGCAGAAGAACCGCCCGGCTGAACCAGCCTGTATTGCTCTTCCAAAGAATCGTAGGAAATAAAAAGGCTGTTGTTTTAGGTCACTAAGTTTTGAAGTGGCTTGTTATGAAGCAATAGATATAATTGGTACATACACTCACCATACTGTTAATATTAACAGAGATTACTTTGAAAGTATGATTGGGGAGGGACAGGGAGGGGACAGGAAATTTCACTTTTATGTCACACATTTCAGTTTGGTTTAAATTATTTTATAAGCAAACATTATGTTGGGATTTAAACCAAAATCCAATAAAGACAAAACAGAGGGGCCAGCCCAGCGGCATAGCGGTTAAGTTCACATGCTCTGCTTCAGCGGCCTGGGGTTCGCCAGTTCAGATCCTGGGCGCGGACCTACTCACCACTCATCAAGCCATGCTGAGGTGGCATCCCACATACAGCAACTAGAAGGATATACAGCTATGACATACAACTATCTACTGGGGCTTTGGGGAGAAAACAGGAAAAAAGGAGGATGATTAGCAACAGATATTAGCTCAGGGCCAATCTTCCTCAAAGGAAAAAGAAGGACTAAAATGTTTATATTATCAGAAAATTGGAAACAATCTAAATGTTTATCAATGAAGAATTGGTGAAATAAATTATGGTATATTCATAGGATGGATTATATCATGTATCATATGACGGATTGTTGTACCCATAGTTAGACCACTGTTTTTCAAATATTTGAAAACTGAGACATAATTAGAAATACATTTTATATTATAGCCTGTTACCCACATACATATATAAATATGTACCACTAAAACTAATGTCTCATAAAGCATTTTCTTTTTTTTAAAGATTTTATTTATTTTATTTTTTCCCCCCAAAGCCCCAGTGGATAGTTGTATGTCGTAGCTGCACATCCTTCTAGTTGCTGTATGCGGGACTCGGCCTCAGGATGAACGGAGAAGTGGTGCCTC